TATATATATATATATATAAGACATCCATAAACAATGAAATGTTTATTGCATCCAAACCACCCATCAAGAATCTTTTAACATTTTTCTTTGCCAACTTAATCAAGTCATGCGTAGCTTCAAATAGAATCCGATCGAGTTGAGATAGCGTGTGTCAGCAGTGCCGTGAAACCCACCAAACTGTCCATCTCCGCCTAAATCAAACTTGAAGAATGTCTCAAAAATGCTCCTTCGGGATTTGATGCCGAAAGGGCCGTATTGGGCCCGGTTTGTGCCAAATGTGATGGAACATATATAGGTGCTGTTTCTGTAACCACCAACCCAAGTTTAATATTTTTTTGATAAAATTATATTCATACTCAAATGTCATATACTTTAAAACACAATATAAACTCACGCTACTGAATTCTGGCCCATGGTTGGTTCTACCGTACCGACATTGTACCTGAACTGAATCGAATCAACACCTAACGTAATGTGAGAAATAAATATGTGGGAAATTGCAGAATGGCCCTTCTCATCCCACTCTGTAGTTCCATAACCTATGCACGGGGCAGAACCTATTTTCATGTATGAATAGTTATTATCCATTTTCTTTATCTGTTGCGGGTGAATACAATGATAACTAAACTCCAGTGATATATATACTTATATTTAAATACAATATTGGTATGAAGAAGTTAAAACGGTCTACATATAATAATTATGAATATTAAGTACTATTATAACTTTACAATTCACTTTTTACTTTTTGTAATTAATCGGGTCTGCATTTAACATGTAAACCTCTCGATGTCTCATTTGGATCTCTTCATAATCTCCATTGAATGTGCAGTACTGTCTTTATCAATTCCTTCTCCCCTTTTAACTCTAGTCCTCTTCAATTTCTATAACAAAATATTATTTGTAACACTTTTCAATAAGTTTTTAACAACACAAATATTTGTTAACTTAAGTCAGGCTTAGCTTTAGATAGATTCCGATTCATTTGATGCAATATTGATCGGAAGAGCCGTGAAACCCACCAAATTGCCGATCTTCGCCAAGCTCGTATTTGAAATCTCCGAGGCACGAGCCCGAGCCGCGGTTCGTGCTGGATGTGATTGAGTATAAGGTGTTGCTGTCCTTGTTACCACGTACTAATCCAAGGTATATACTCTGCAGGGTAACTCAGTTTCACCTGCATAATTTGGCATTTGAGAAGATTAATTATTATACTCTTTTTAATATCATTCTGCATGTCACAATTTTTTTAAATAAGTTTGTATCATTATATTTGTCACTTTTTCAAAAACAAGACCAATTGGTTGTTTTACTGAATCATTATTGAGTCCCTCAACATTAATCAATTTTAATACTAGTATATTTTTATTTAATCTCGATGTCATATAATTGGGGAGTTAATGATGCTTCCACGAGAATTTGAATCTATAATTAAAATTTAGAAACATAATAATGTCTACAATATTATAGAAAAACAAACCTAAAAATAACAAAACTAGGTGTGGCATAGCTACCATATTATATAGCTCAAGTGATATAATTGGCTCTTAATTAGGTTGCAAACGAGTCAAGCCAAACTGAATCTAATAGTTGCCTTAATGAGATAAAATCGACCATTCTTTCACTGTTGCTTGAGTTCATCGAGTCGAGGTTTTCAAGGCTCAAGTCGAATCGATGTAAGTATTTAAATGTTCAAAATAGGCTCAAATTTTTGCTTGAAATTTCAATAAAATCATGTCTATTTAAATAAGAGTCCTTGTCAAATTTGGCTTGAATAATTTTAGCTCGATTCAACTCAAATATACTCGAGTTAGAGGTATTTAAGTAAATTATACTTTTCGAACACTCATGCTCATGATCGAGGTGTTCGAGCTCGACCAAACTAAAACTTGCGCGAACTGCTGGATTTGCTTACAGTCCTGCCCTTAATAACATATTATATTATTAGTTTGATACAAAATTCAATCGTGTAGATACGTAGGGCACGTGCCTATCATAAAACACGACCCATTGGAACAAAAAAATAATTAAAAAAAAAAAACTCACAACATGGAATTTGGGACCTAAATTGTGGATGTCGCCGTGCCTAGCGGACATTGCCCAGCCGGAAAAGTTGACGGCGTACCAGAACTGAATCGCGCGTGTAGATACGTTGCCCGTGGGAAACAAATATATGGGAAATTCTAGTATTGCCCCTCTCGTCACACTCGATATCGCCATAGAATTTTCTCGCAGATCCTATTTTGATGTATGAATGAAAAACCATATTCTTTGGACAACAACGGGAATTAATCTAACGATTGTTGTATTAGAAGTTAAAAACTACTTTGGTTTGTTAAACGGGTTAGTCCTAACGGACTTTTGAACTACATTGTCCGAATTAATTTATAGTCCAAACTTAAACGAGGATGTGAACTTAATCCTACCTCGAACGAGTTATAGAAGCTATAAATTATAAAAATTTAAATATATAGAGATGTCAAACTTACAATCCTAACGGTTTAGGACGGCTCTCGTAGACATTCGGGCTACTAACGAGTTATTTATTTTCTAAAGTTACAAATGCAAATTAAAATTCCTGAATTTAAACATTATTAACATCTAAGTTTAGGTATATGTATATTTATATAATTTTAGTCGAGTTGCATTACGAAACAACAAACACAAAATTTTATAAAGATTGACATAGAGTAAATGTTTCTTATTATATTATATAGAAAAAAAGGGAGTAGTTCTATTATATTTAAAAAGAAAAAATAGCAAAGTTTCAAAATTTAATATGAAAATTAGATTTGGAACTAAAACCAAAATCAAAAAATCAAATTAAACCAACACAACATCATCTTCCAGCTTCGCAATATTTTCGTTGACCAAATTACCTAAAGTCTTGATTGGATTACAATAAACACCAATGGACCGTACACTTTTTTCATCAGCAGTGCCATGAAATCCACCAAATTGGCGGTCGTCGCCTAGCCGGAGATCAAAAATCGTGTCGTAGTTTTCAAATTTACCAAACGGGCCATATTCTCTCCGATTTGTTCCGAATGTGATTGAACGTAGATTGTTGCCGTAGTAATTCAGGCGACCACTAACCCAAGTTATATACTCTGATGGGTAGTCAAATTTCACCTGATTCACCACAAATTTATAATCAGACATTATATATAACAATTTAAATACTGTTAATTAGATAGTATGTTAGTGCTTTCAAAGAATAAGACTTAATTTTACTCATAATTAAGGAAAATGCTACGGTCCGGTATCATTCTGGGTGTTTTAAACGTTAGATCCACATGTAGTCAAATAAAATAGATGATCAAACGAGTAAAACACCCGACGAGACGATAATGTAACGGGACCCGTAACATTTCCCATTAATAATTAGTCTCATTAATTTATGTCACTTAAATTTAAAATAAAATAAAAATAAAATAAAAAAGAATCAATCAATCAACTTACCGTATGAAATTTATTTCCGTTGGTTTTACCATGCAAATTGACTTTGTCATCGTGACTTATAAATATCTGAACAATTTTATTGTTCCCCTTTTCGTCCCATGCATTTCCAATTGGACATCCCACTGGGCCTATCTTAATCATTTTTTTGTGATTTGAAAACAAAGAACCCAATATATGAAGTTATGTTATGGGTTTAGATCATAGTATCAAATATGCTGTTTATACGATTATTTATATAGAGGAAATTGATGAAAAACGTGAAGTCTAAAAGTCAGTCAGCAATTAATGTTTCTTAATTGACTGCACATAAATTACATAAGAGGGATTGATTCATCTCAAGGGGCTGATGAAAAAAAAAAAAAAAAACTGTTCAAATTTAATCTGTTCTCTGACTTTGAACCATAATTAAACAGGTTCGGTTCATGTAGTGCAGTTAATTACAATAATTGTGTATATATATGATAGGGAACAACTAAAGTCTCGTTGACGGAATTGTTCCATCACGGTTTAATATCGTAGATTATCCATACAATATAATCTACTTTTCGTCTCTAATGGTGGAAAACGCTGACGGGTACCGTCCCGTAACAGGACATTAGCATTTTTCTATATCATAAATCTTGGATTTTTATTTTCTACTAATAGATAAATTAAAGGGTAAATTGCACTTTTGATACCCAAACTAAAGTTCATGTCGGAATCAGTACCCGTTTTTTAATATTTGAAAAAATAATACCCAAATTTTTACTCCGTTAGCGACGTTAGTACCCGACCGTTAGTTGTCCATCAAAAGCCCGTTAATTGTCATCGTTGTGAAAATGGAGAGAAATGGTGTTTTTTCTTTTATTATTTTTTTTTTTTCTCTTTT